GAACGATATCGCGCCGAAGTGGAGAACGGCAGATACCGAGAGATGAAAAGCAAAACACCGGGACAAGAGCTGAACGGATGTCCGATATATATGGACCTTTTTAGGGAGCAACCTGCATTCGCTGCCGTCACAGACTCTAGTCTTGTGAACGGTGTTGAACAACCCTGCAACCCGTCGACCAAGTGGTTCCCTAACTCTGTCGAGTTCAGCCGGGAACACAACGTCCTTTATGTGCCAGGATATTCCCTTCACAAGCCAAAAGATTTCAATGAGACTCAGTGGAAGTTTTATCCGCAGAAGTGCGTGTGGGCCGTCAAACAGGATAGCTGGGAGGGAATCCGTATCATGCTCGGAGATCTGCTAGGAGGCGATTTAATGAGCAACGCGTTTGAGTATCCGGCATCCTCAACCACGGGCCCGCCTTGGCTGAAAAGGATGTATAGTGACGGCCAAGGGAACATCTCAACGGTTGAAGATGTGTTTCGCGGTGTGGCGAATTCAATGAGCGCCGCGGTGCGCAACAACCCGTCAGCAAATCACAAAGACTCAGCCACAACAATCGTCCATGTGCTTCCTACTGAGATGAGGTGGGCAAGCGGGACCGTCAAAGTTATGCAGACATGTGTCTACGTGGAATGGAGTTGGATCGTGTACCCCGCTGCGCTGCTTGTCCTGCAGGCGGTCTTTTCTGCGATGGTGCTGGCTGGTCCAAGAACCACAAGGTCCCGCGGTGGACTAAGGAATTCAGCCTGGAAGTCTTCGCCCCTGGCCCTTTTATTTCACGGCCTTGAAGGTGATATTCGACGGGAAAACAAGGATCTGACAACTGTCGACCAGATGAGTAAGGCCGCGCAGAAGGTCCAGGTACAGCTAAATCGTGTCGATGGCGTTGACGACAAAGGATGGCGGTTTTGCGCAAGCTGAGTGGAAATAAGGTAGGCGGCGAAGGAGAGTGAAAGAGTACTAGAGAGAGGGGGAAAAGGCTTCTGCATTTACGATCTGAGATTCATCTTAAGAAGTCACGCTTCCATGAGTGTTTATTGGAGAATATCAGTCAAGATACCTCCATCTCTTCCACAAGCTTCTCCATAGACATAGCATTGTTAATCTATTGAGCGCATTGGACTTTACACTCCTTGCAAGTAGCTAAGTATACATCTCTTGGCGAGGTCCCAATTACAAAGCGCCCCTCATCCGCATTTCAAGGACAGACGGTTCGTCCATAAGATTTCGCACGCAACCTCCTGGCCCTGTCGCGAACAACGGCCGCTTCGTCTGCAGTGCGGGCCAAAAATCACTCCCGTTCTTCAAAGTTGATCCCGAGCAAGCTGCCTTCAACTCAGAGTCTCCGGCAGCAAGTCTCTCGGTCTCACTCATCACCCATGCCGCGTCATTCACCACTTACTTGAAGCCGTCGCTAAGACCACGACGACGACCGCAACCCCAACAACACACGCGCCCATCCAACCAACGGCACTCGACTTTTTCCCACCTCATCAGCTCGGCCCGGCCCGGCCCCAGCGCAGCAGTCCCAGTCTATCAGCGACGAGGAATGGGAAAAGCTCTCGCCTGAAGCAAATATTCAGTGGCTCGGAGATGACAAATGGGGCTGGGTCGTCTATGTCGGTCTCGTCCGGGCTTGGCCTGAGTCTCCGGGGGCCGAGGATTGGATGAAAATCAGGACTGGCGCCATTGGGCCTGAGCCATATCTTGAGCTGGACAACCGCGAGGTGTGGTATGCGTATTACACGCCGCCGGAGAGCGGGGTGTGCAGTGGTTGGTTGGCACGATCTGCTGGGTTTGCGTTTATTGCAGAGACGCTGGTGAGAGCAATCGGTGTCTTTATTATTCGATATGGCGTTGCCTAGTGCGAAATGATTGACGCTGCTTGGTGCACTACGCAAGGACTAAAAAGAGTCTATAAATTATGATTCGTTTTCAGGGCCACACAATTATGTCCGGCCAAAACAGCCACATAACAAGCCTCAAATTTCATGTTCGTGTTCTTGTCGGGAAATCGCCGGTGTGGACTGTACCAGACCGACTGGACTTCGTGCATGCACATGTATATTTGCGTTTTTAACAGCTCGGGGGGCCAGGAATGCAAGGGTGACAGGCAAGGAACTTGAATCAATTGTGCGAAAAAGTGCCAACATTTAATTTGATTCGAATCCGTGCCGTCATGGGAGTATTTAAAGGCTTGAGAAGCAGACGGTCATTTGTCTCATATAATAGTGATGTCTCTCCGAAACGTATCCGTGGTTCTTTGATACCACCAGACTCCCCGCCTGCTCTTATCGATGGCATATGGACCACGACCCTCGTAGTAATACCTCAGTAACCCAACTCGCCTATACGTGGCCGTGTCGACATCCACGGCTTCGAGGAGAAGCCCGAAGACTTTGACGGAGAGAGACACTTGTCGGTTCCAGGATTCCAAGTCATTCGGTTGCCTCCCATGCTTCTCATACGAAGAAGTCTCTAGGCCTAGAACCAAACATTCAATGTCTTTCCCGGCCAGATCATTGGCGTCGTAGTCGTAATTCAACTCCGTCTCATGACCTAGCTCACATCTGCGTTGCTCTTCGGGACCAAACGCCGAGATCGGCCCTGAAATATCGAGCTTGCCATGTCTGACGTTGCCCCATGGGTTATGAATGGTTGAAGGATCGCAATTAGCCCCTCGTAGAAATGCGTAGGCCTTTGCCCATTGATCATTGCCGTCAAAGACGACCGCGTTACCGATAGATGCCCATGACCATGACGGAGTGCACCAATAGGATTGCCCAGATTGTTCCGAAGACGTTGGCTTGATCAACAGACTCTCTGTGCCCCTTTTCGCTTTGCTTGTCGCGTCGGCTCTTCTCCACGTCAGACTAGGAAGCAACCAATTGTCCCAAATTCCTGCCAGATATCTAGAGTCAGGATCGGTCTGCTGGTAAATCTGGGCCAGGCCTGAGAGAGCTGGCAACCAGTCATGCTGCCTAGCGATCTTTAGCTTGGAATAACACTGGACAAGCTCTAGCCAATGGCATCCTCGATATTTGGAGGGCGATTCGGTAATGCTTTGTATTAGTTGATTAAAACCTTGAGGAAAACCGTGATCATCGTTTGGGTGGTTATCCGAGGATTTGATGCTGTCTCTGCAGGTCCATTTTAACCTGTACAGTGCAAATGACAATGTACGCGGCGACAGGAGATTTTCTTGCAGAACCCAAGCTCTTCTATAGAGTGGCGACAAACATCTTGTCGGCAAGCAGCTCTTCGGCAAGTAAGAAAAGCTAGGATCACATGAATAACATGTGTTGTAATCCAAGAGATCAAACGACGCGATTATCCACTTGAAGGCGCCCCCTGTAGTGGTACCTTCCCAGTGGAGAAACATCGATTCGTCGAAGGATGCACGACCATCCAGTGAGTTGCTCAAAATTCCAGAAGAACAGTCCGAACTTGAGGCTGCAGCGACGGTGAGGAAGGCATTTCCATAAACGTCTTTCATACGACCGGCCTCGTGCGCCCAGTCTCTTTCATCGCCTTGCAAAATGCAAAGCGAATCAATCCAGACGTATTTGATTCCGTATCTCCAAGCCAGACGTATGGTGTCTTGGTACAGGGGCGGCATTGACTCCCAGGGAATGTGATTCAAATGGTCCTCGAAATTGGTTTTGGTTGTGACCAGAGGTTGCTTGGAACCCCAGCAGTGACTTAGGCAAATGTATCGATCTTGAACTCCACTAGATTCCATGAGACGGATACTGCTGGCATCGTCACCGACGCTGATCACCCGCGTTGGGAGATTTGGAAGCTGAGAGTCGTGCTCCCGAAAGCAAGTATGGTTTTGACGGCAACAGGCCAAACGGTCATCTGCAAAATCTAGATCGAGGCTCCGGTAGGGACACAGGACATTCCAAGGGCATGGTGTGTCTATATAAAGAGACTTCTATCAGCGTTGAACAGTCCGCCGAGGTGTATGAAATAGCGTACCCGGGTGCGCATAAATGCTGAATGTCAACTCCTTCTTTGTCTGTGATCCTAGCTCTGACAGGCGGCGAAGGCGAAGTATTGTCTTCTTGTTGCCTTGGCGTGGAACTGAGAATCTCGGGCTGACTTCTTTGTACCGATTGTCTCGTAGTATAGCTTTTGCGACTAACTCTCTGAGCCTGTCGCAAAGTTCGCAACAGGAGATGTTATCAGATTCTTCAGAAATTGGGAACTCAATATGTTGCCTTCTCCCGGCGGTAAGGTTCCATTTGTTGCACGCGGTGGCTTGTTCCATCGTAGCTAGAAGTCAGGCTGGCGAAAAGACGAAGAACACGATCGGAGATAATGACAGGTGCAAAGTAGCTCCCAAACCTGGTGCTTTGGAGGGGGGTTTGTGGGCGGAGTCGAGGGCCGGTGATCATTTGTAAACATCTCAGATGTGATCTTGGATGATGTAACATGGAAGCCTGACTGCGGGGCAAGCTGCTTGTTGCTGAAGGCAGATTGCCCCTCAAGGCAGAATCAATCGTGCATGTCAATTGGTAAGCTAATCCATCTGGCCTGTGAGGTCAGCCTATCACGATCCACCGTGATGTTCCGTTAAGACAGGCTTGCAGGATGATGGGGCTGAGTACGTCAGACAGTCCAAAGGCCCTCCTCGCCTGGTGAAGTAACGAGCCAAATTTCACAGAGGCATGACTGCATCCGAGATATTCGATTATTGTGCGTTGAACGCTTCAAGATACGCCTTTAACTAGAGCGAAGTTTTACAGCAATGTTGTTCACATCTTTCTAATCAGATCATGTTGGGACAAGGAAATCCTACTAGGTAGGTTTTGGCTTGCAGCAGATCCTCACTAATCCATCCGGCTGATTTGAACCACGGGGTACGAATCAGTACGTTCTCGACCAAATAGTCTTCTTCAATGATTAACAAAGTACAGACTAATTAAGCTGGACAGAACTTATAGCTCCTCTTAAGCTCGCTTAAAAACAACTATGCATGTTGAGGTGAGCAATCAAGAAACCTCGACCTCTCCCCTAACCTTCTCAATAGAAGCAACGTCGTCAATCTTGGCGATGTTCAACAGCACCTGCCCGGCAACATCCAACGTCACGGTGTTATCCCGTTGCACGACCATCTCCTCAATCGACACATCAGTAACCTCGCTCATCCTCCTAGCCACCTGATGCGCCGTCATTCCGGCCTCTTCATGAAGTCTGACGTGAACAGTGTGCTTCTCCTCCCTCTCTTCACTCTTCTTCCTGGCCCACATGGGCGCCTTCAGGGTGGGGGCAATCTTATGGCGGGGGTCGACGACGGCAACGTTGGCCACGAAAGCCTGGCCGCGGATGATGACAAGGTCGGCGGGCTCGTATTTGCACAGCCACGTTGTCTCGGTGAGCTGCTGGAGGAAGCGTACGCCGTAGGATTGAAGCTCGGATTCTTGAGAGTGCGAAAGGGGCTCGTGGGTTTCGAGAAAGACAAAGTTGGAGTTGGCCTCAGACTCGAAGCTCGACCCCAGAGCTTCTGAGGCGAGTTCAATGTGGTTGCCGTTGAATGAAAAAGACATGGTGGATGATGTGGGTTTGTTGTATGGGTAACAGTGGGTAAGGTGAGGTGTGAATCCTTCAGGATCGGAATGGGGAAAGTGATAATTCGATGGTGGTGAGTGACATGCAAATCAAGGCTCCCTGGTTGGAAAAATGGGCCGGTTTAAATCCACTTCGAAGGTGTCTCTAAACGGGAGGCAGACGTCAACATTCGGGGTCGGTGTTCGGACCCTGGCAACGGTCTCAAAAACGAACGCCGACTGGGCAAGCCGGATATGTCTCTGCAAGGCAATGATTGTCGCACGCAAGACAGGGAGATCACAGATGATGAGCGTAAAATTCCCGGGAGCTATTTCGTCGCACTCGCATCTGGGGATGTGATTGCGTGTGATGGCATGAAAAATCTGAGACCTGGCGCTAAATTCCAGCAGATTTCACCGCAAACAAGGACACCCACTACCGCCGTACTATGCATTGTCCGAATGGTGTTCGCCGAACGTTCTATTAAAAGATGAAAACGGGGCTTGGAGTTTAAAATTTGGGCGAATTCAGCCAGTGCAGAATGGCCCAGCCCGCCACGTGCGGCTTTTCTGAGGTCGACCGTGTGCGAGAGCCGCATCAGTAACTGAGCCACGTACTGAGGCGCCAAATCGCGGCGTAGGTCTGGATTACAGGGAGGCGGACCACATGCCTCATGTCTCATCAAACCCTCGCCGAAGTTCAGCTCTATGGGCAACCACATGTAGGTGATGACAAGGATCATAGGCAACGACAGTGAAGCTGATAGCAACATCATTCATTATTCATTACTCTCTCCGGTTTTGTATGTAGTATTGTATGTACATATTAGCGATCCTTTCTCTAAAGAAGAGTGACGTCCAGGGTAACTGTAGGCGCACCCTCAAAGCCCGCAGGCATAGAGTACGTAAAGTTCCAGAACTCAAAGTCGCGGATCATCGAGTCCGAACCACCGTATTCTCCGGCAAAGGACAGGGCATATGTCTCGTTGATGTTGCCGGATACGCTCACGTTCAAGCCCTGGACGTCAGCCCAGCCGGCGACGGTCGGTTTCTTGATGAAGGTGCCGACCACGAAGCTGAAGATGGAATCGGCCGTGCCGTTGGGGTACGTCAGGGTCAGCTTGTTGGCCTCGACCGCGACATCGAGGGCCATCTCAGTTGGGTAAAGCGAGATGAAGGAGATCTCGTTGCCGGTGTTCCACTGGATTACGGCTGGGTTGAAGGATGCTTGGTTCTCGGAAGGACCACCGATCACGTTCTCATTGAAGGACTCGGCGCCGATAGTGAGGTTCTCGGAGAGCCAGCTGGTGATGTTGCGGGGAACGTAGTCGTAGGGAGGGTAGTAAGTCGATGCCGTAAAGAAGTGGTCGCCAGAGAAGGTCGTCAAGTTGGCGACAAGGCCTTCGGGAAGGAGAGACTGGTGGTAGTCTGCGAGGACGGCGAAGAGAGGGGCCCAGGCATAGTCTGCGGCGTGGGACATGACTTGCGGCTGTGAACCGTTAGTACTTGAGCGGTTCGAAGGGGTTGATCTCAACTTACAGCGGAAATGAGAGATGAATTCTCCTTGCCAATCAACGTCCAGAACCACAGGGCCATCAAACTGACATAGCGATTCATGTCATATCCATAAGCACGATCCCAAGGTCCAGCCATGTTCTTCATAGAAGGGTTCCAGAGCTGTGCAACAGCCTTCCAAGTATCGGTGAGCATCTGCGGACCCTTCTGGGTCATGACAGAATCCTCAGGGAGGTACTTGCTCCAAAGAATCAAACCAAACAGGGAAACACCAGTGTAAGTGCCCGAGTTGAACTCGGACAGTGTGTTGGCACGGTCGAATAGGTCGATGATCTCCTGCGCATAGTTCTCGCCGGACTGAGTCATGTTGGCATCGCCAAGCTTACGGCCGGTGTAGCCAGAGACGAGAGCGCGCATGATAGCGGGGTTGCTGTATGCGGGGTAGAGGTTATCGTCGTCGACGCCGCCAACGCGGTACTCATCGCCCTTGGTGGTGTTGTGCAGCGATGCGAGGATGAGGTCTTGGGTATCGTTGCTGAGGAGGTGGGGGAATTCCTCGAGGGCCATGATGAGAGTAGTGCCCACGAAGCCTCGCCAATTGGGGTCCCAGGAGTTGTAAATGCTGCCAGGGTAGTTCTCTGAGCCGACGTAGGGCTCGCCGTCATATTTCTGGTAGTCACCGTACCTAGAGCTTTGTCAATGGCTGATTTTAAGTCTGCAACGGGGTCGGGAGGGTAGCTTACCATTGCTCAGATTCGACCTTGAATTGCCCCGCAATGGTGTTGGTGATGATCTTCTCCGCCTCGGCAGCGTCGTCGCCGTTGTTACGGGCGAGGAGACCGAGCGCGTACCACACGGAACTGCGCGTTTCGTGTCGGAGGGCAGAGGCAGAACCGAAGTCGTAGAGGTAGCCAGCCGAGCGGTCGTAGTACTGGTCCATCCATGCCATTGACTCATTCAAGAGACCCTGAGCATTGGTGGACAGATTCGCGACGTATGAGGACGCAGTGGCTGTGCCAGCGAGGGCGAGCAGCGCCGTTGCCTTTGACATGCTGGAGATCATCTTGAAAGAGCACGTGGGAGACCCAATTGATGCGACCTTGGAGTCCTGGGGAGGGAGCAGATCACGAACACCAGTTCATTGGAGGGGTACCATCTCCCTAATATACACACACTCAAGATACAGCAGCGTCATGCCATGTCCAAATTTCCTGCGGCCAAGAGCTGCAATGCGGTGCAGTCCCAGGGCCAAGGACCAGATCGTCATCGTTGTAGATTGCAGCAATCAAGAAGCCGGGCACCCGCGTGACCTCACACGACAGCAGTGGACGCCCACCCAAGACTTCTACCAACCGGTAGAGGCCCTAGCTAACGGTGGCTGGGTCCGGTGTTGTTGACCAGGTTAGGTAAGAATGCGGAGGTGATAGCGGAATGGAGTCGATGGAACCCTTCGGACCCTGGTGGGCACGTTGGAAATAACTAGCCAGGCATGGCATGGCTAGCCACTGGCACGTTGCCATTGAGCGGGAATAGGTGAGAAAGAAGCATCCCCGAGCGAAAGGACAGACAAAACGCGATAGCGATGCCGTGGCACCGTGGTCTAGGGCAAGGTGAGCAAAAGTCGGGGGAGACTAAGACACAAGGATACCCCATGAACGTCACAATGGATGACTCGAGCACCCCTGCCCGTCGTCTGTTCTTCTCCGCAGTTCGACCTGCAGGCGTGGTGCGGTTTGGGGTCCGCTAGACGGATACCCTGCTCCGGGCCGGACTTCACCGGGTCTATCTGCCCTCTCTATCAACCGCGGCTTTTATCGTATCTGTTTCTTTTCGCGGGTGTGTGTTTTCCCCGTAGTTTTATCGGGGCCCGTAACAATCGGAACGCGGCAAACGGCCGCCTGTTTGTCGCCTCAACTAGGGTCCATGAGCTGAGGAACTAATGTTCGTCTTATGACCGCTATCAATTGTGGATTTCGACAACGGGATCGGAGGGCCAGAACGCCGGATCGGGGCTTTTTCCGTGATTCGCGATGGATATATGTTTCTTTCAGCGCCCACTCGCGCGATAAAGCTGGAGATGGCACGCGATCACGTACAATTGAGTGGATTATCGTCAACTTCAATCCGCGAAACTCATCATGGCCGAAGTAAAGGGACCGATCGACATCTCGTCGAGCTCTAAGAAGAGCATGGACGGTTCTGGAGAGAAGCATCTCGACGCCGACGAGATGCGGCTGGCGCAGATGGGTAAGTCGCATGTCGCCTGCATTGACAGCACCCAATTCTGACCGTTCGGTCCAGGCCATACGCAGGAATTGAAGCGCCATTTCAGCACCCTTAGTCTCATCGGCCTCGCGTCAACAACAACCATCTCATGGACGGGTCTGGGCCTGGGCCTCATCACGGAGATCAATGCTGGTGGACCCGGTGCGGTTATCTACGGCTTCATTCTCGTGACACTGTTGCAATGTTTCTTGGGCGCGTCGCTGGCGGAGTTTGTGTCATCGTACCCTACTGAGGGTGGCATGTACCATTGGATTGCTGCTGTAGCCCCTAGGAGAATGACGGGCGTCTTGAGTTTCTTCACTGGATGGTTCAGTGTGCTTGGCTGTACGTTCTGACCATCTCCTGAGACGCCATGATGTTTGCTAATCCGAGTTTTACGTTCAGGGATTTTCACGACCGCATCGACGAACTTGATCTACGCTCAAGTCCTCATGGCGTTGATTGCGCTTTACCATGAGACTCTTGAGATTCAGGCCTGGCAGACTTTCATCGTCTATCAAGGCCTGAACCTCATCACCGCCGGTATTGTCATGTTCGGCAACAAGATTATTCCTGGCCTGAACAAGTTTTCCCTCTTTTACCTACAGATTGGCTGGTTCGTGGTCATGGTTACAGTTGCTGCATGCGCGCCGACCCATCGCAACGCCGAGTTTGTGTTCAAGACCTGGATCAACAACACTGGCTGGGAGAACCAGGTGATTTGCTTCATCACGGGTTTGGTCAACCCCTTGTACAGTCTTGGCGGTCTTGATGGTGTGACGCACATCACGGAGGAGATGCCTAACGTGAGTATCACTGAAATCTTACTCAATTTGCTTGCATGCTGAAGATTCCCGAAGCCTTCCCGAAATGCGCCCCTGGCCATTGCCATCACTCTTGGAATTGCGTTTGTCACGGGTATCACCTACCTGATCACCCTCATGTTCTCCGTGCAGGACTTCGATGCTCTCTCCACTACCAACACTGGTCTTCCCCTTGCAGAGCTGTTCCGCCAGGTCACTCAGGGTGCCGGTGGAGCCTTTGGCCTGACTTTCATCCTCTTCGTTGCTCTCGGCCCCTGCGTCGTCAGCTCTCAGCTGAGCACTGGCCGTGTTTTCTGGGCCTTCTCCCGTGATGGAGCGATGCCCTTCTCAAGACTGTAAGCAGACCCTCATTGTAAAGTTCTGGGCAGTTGTGCTGACTGAAGCAATAGTTGGTCAAGAGTCCACCCCAAGTGGCAAATCCCCTTAAACTCCCAACTGGCCGTGACTGCCATTGTCGCCGCCCTAGGATGCCTTTACCTTGGCTCGTCCACGGCTTTCAACTCCCTGCTGGGAACCGCGGTCACTATCAACAACATTTCGTACATGTTTCCAATCTTGACCAACTTGCTCACGAGAAGAAAGAACATGCATCGTGGAGTGTTCCACATGGGAGCTACCTGGGGACCCATCATCAACACTATCACGGTGTGCTGGCTTACTTTCGCCATCGTGTTCTTCTCGTTCCCGTATGTCATGCCTGTTGAGCCCGCCAACATGAACTACACCTGTGTTGTCGTCGGTGGCTTGACTGTTCTCGTTGGCGCATGGTGGTTCAAGGCTGGGTCGAAGTACAGCGAGAAGATGCTTCAGGCCAAGGAGGAGTAAACTACGGAACGTTTAGACGATTTTGATTGTGCACCGGAGATTTCGAGTTATTGAAACGATCTCCACGCCGTTTAATGAAATATTTGGTAATTAGCAAAAGGTGGCAGAGAAGCAGAGCCCCGAGTTGCAGGCTCTTTGCAGGAGGGTGGTACTGTCAGACACATGGCATGGATCATTGTAGTTAGCTTAGACCAAAGCCAATCTTTCCAAGCGAATCAATGCGCAATATGTCGTGCACTCGTGACGCATGCAACGAGCCCCTCTCCCCACAGGTCCACACAGCACCGGCTCTACGGAAGGCATGTCACGCTGTGTAGTGACCCAGAGGGTCCCTGATCTTCGGGACCCTTCCTGGCCGCATTTGCCTTTCATTCCGATCTTTGGGTTTAAGCCGCGTGGGGGCTCAAACGGGTCTCTTTGAAATGAGCTACCGGTGATGTCGGACAGGTAATGCCGGCACCGGGAGACATTGCCGAAGAGTCTCTGACACTTACACTTGGTGTTGAAGGTTCAATAGCACCTGAAGTCCCGAAAAGTGTCTGATACAGAAGGGTCAATCACCTAGAACCCGACTACCCTAAACTTTGCCTCCTGCTCATCATTCTTCCACCTTCTGATTGAGACCCAACTTGTTGATTACTATTGCCAAACGACATTGAAAAGTTTGAATAAAATCACCAATACACTTACACCATGAGACTCATCATCAGACCCGACAGCAGATCTGCATCTGCTCATGTTGCCCATTACATACTAGGTACGTCGTTTAGTTTGCAAATTGATGTGGTAGAACCGGCCTCGGACTAACGCCAAAAAGATCGTATCAGGACGTTCAACCCGACACCCGAGAAGCCTTTCGTATTGGGACTGCCAACCGGAAGCAGCCCCATCCAGATTTATGAGATCCTTGTCACAGAATACAAGGCCGGTCGTATCTCGTTCGAGAATGTCATCACATTCAACATGGTAAGCCAAAACAAGCGCGTCCCCACAGGCAAGGAACGAGTTCTAAACTAGACGTAGGACGAATACGTTGGGCTTCCCCAATCCCACCCCGAATCATACCACAGCTTCATGTTCCGTCACTTCTTCTCCCATGTTGACATCAAGCCCGAAAACGTGCACATCTTGAATGGTAACGCACCAGACTTGGACGCCGAGTGTGCTGCCTACGAAGACAAGATCAAGGCTGCTGGCGGCATTGATCTGTTTCTCGGCGGGGTTGGTCCCGATGGTCACATCGCCTTCAACGAGCCAGGATCAAGTCTTGCTTCGAGAACAAGAGTGAAGACACTAGCCATGGATACGATCCGGGCTAATGCCCGGTTCTTTGGCGGGGATTTGCAGAAGGTTCCTCAGATGGCCTTGACTGTTGGCGTTCAAACTGTCATGGAGGTGTGTTCCCACTGAAACAGATCAAATAGATCGAGCCGACTAACAATGTTTCAAATAGGCCAGGGAGGTTGTCATCATCGTCAATGGTGCATCCAAGTCCATTGCTCTGCAAAAGGCAATCGAGGGCGGCGTCAACCACATGTGGACTCTGTCATGCCTACAACTGCACCCCTACTCCATGATTGTTGCAGACGAAGACGCGACATTAGAGCTTCAGGTCAAGACAGTCAAGTATTTCAAGAGCATTGAGAAGGTTGGACTCGGCAAGGGATTCGAGCAGAAGCTGCCCCTGAGACTCAGGACAGTGTCACTTGCCAGCCCCCCTCAAACGCCAGCAGACACGAAGCCGTTCTTGGACGACGATCACCTGGTTGAGTTGACACCAGACAGCATGTCTTCTCGCATCTCACCTTGGCCCGTTATTTGAAGATCTGTACAGAACGGGGCTTGAAATTTGACGAAGAATGGGTTTTGGTACGGTAAAGGGTTATGGCAATAGATTTCATGGATTACAAATGTCACGTCGAGAAAGTATAAAGCATGGAAACTTTCTGTTATTGGATGTTCCAAAAGTGAAGGCTAGCCTCCTTGGTTTTCGTATGACCATAATTCGTAACCTGCCTGCAGACTTGCTTGGTCGAAGATGTACCAAGAGTTGTCCAGGTTCTGTATTTCCTGCTCGAACATCTCTGCATCACCCGAAGCAGGGGTGTGCAGCCCTTGAAGCTTTTCTTCAAGCCGTGTGGCTAAGATGCCTCTGAGACTTGGTTTTGGCTCGTGCATTTCTTTCAACTTCTGTAGGTGAACCCCAACGTTTTCCAGATCTGCGTCGTAACCTTTAGTTGAAGATTCAATGAACAGGCTGCAGACAACTTACCATCGGGTTCTCCCACACCACCATCCACACCCTGGAGCACGATAAGACATGCCCAAGTGATCATCACCAGGTCCCAGTTGGACCAAATAGCCGAGTCAAGAATTTGTAGCTTGACAGCCGCCCGTGCCGACACCAGAAGCTCATGTTGTTCTTTCGGTGTGGTGTTGGAAAACAAGTTGCACCCCCTCGCAGGGTGATAGATGGACAAAACCAGTAGACGGTGGAGGATGTACTGCCTGAACACGAGCTTCTTCTCATGCTCAGACTCAAATTCCCTGTCGCTGAACTCCACAAGCCAGTCATCCAGCTGACGTGCCCAATCGCGGATCACCGCCCCATCGACACCGCTGAACGAGACGGTTGCATCAGGCGTTGCGCTAGGCTCGCCAGCAAAGCATGACCAGATAGTCGGTAAGCCCCGCCCAGTGAAGTGCGTCAGGCCCGTATGCATCATCCTAGACAGGCGGTACAGCTGATCTTGCATGGCGATCTTGAGCCGAGGTAGCGGCGCCTCGATGGGGATGACAGGGCACGAGAGGTGGATCGAGGCGTGCTCGAGATCCACGATCTAGCCTGAGGTTAGCAGGGATAGTGAATGCTTGCGATGATGGGAGAATCGTACCTGTAGACCAGAGAACAGACGGCGCCACTCACGGGACCTCTCGTCGACGTTAGAGGGGCAGTGTTCCAGTATCAACCGATATGCAACTGAGATCCAGAGCCCCGTCTCCTTGACTACGGCTTCCCGAAGGAGACCGGCCAGTATGATACCAAGAACGGTCTGAAAAGCCCATTCCTCCGCTGATGCGGGGTCGTCTGGTGGTTGGCCGATTTCGCTATCGGGGATGCAGAGTTGTGAGATAGCACTGCACAAAACGGTGAAGTAGTCGGGGGCTAGTACGGCAACATCTGGCGAACCTCGTATACTTGAACAATAGAGCATCGATGCCAGCATGAGTGGCCTAGGCGATGAGAATGTCTGTTTGCTTGGGAGGAAGTGCAGCCCGGGCATGCTCTCATGGAATCTACACCACATCAGCCAGACAGGCCTTGCATAAGGAAGGAAGTACTCACGAAAGCCATAACCTCTTGATCATATGCTTCTCCCAAATATTTGAACTGACTTTTGAGGGGCATGTTCTTCGAAGGACAGCAACAGCATTCCATAGAGCGCTGAGCCCCGCATCCCCGGGACTTTCGAGCTCAACATCAGGCAAATTTGGCGAAGCTGGCGACTCGACCTCTTCAAGACTGCCAAGACCAGATAATCCCCAGTGTTCCTCAAGGCGCTTCAATCTCAAGAGCACAGATTTATTGAAAGAAGAACTTTGCTCATTACTGTGGAGAATTGAAGCCAATGAAAGACTTTCACGATGGGACGCGGACTAAGCAAATGTCGCGTCAGAAATGATCACGAAGGACCAGGAACGAGAACACATACGTTGGCTCTGGGTACAAACACGCATGGGACACCGGCGCGTAAACATCTTCGACACGTCGACCCGTTGTCCAGTCTGCACTTCATCTTCTGTCTTCTGCAATTGACTACGCAGGCAGTGGTCAGCCTCCACAGCCACGCATCAGACGCACACCGGTGGGCTTACCGCATGCCTTCCGGGCCTTGGACGGGCCTGCATTATCAGGCCCATCCACCGAAGCTCCGTCTCTCGCGTGTTGCAGCGACATGGTTGACAACTGACAAGCTTTTCGGAACGTTTCTCAAAACAGATCCACTTTGCGTGCTCAAAGCTTCCGGTGTTTGCAGAGCGTTCTGCCCGGTTGCAATCAACTGTTGTGCTGTTTTCAGCGGAGGACCGGTGAAACAGGTGATGTGGGATCGGGGGGTGAGACTCTGGTTCGCCGGTTGAGCCGGGGTGGCCGGACTTTATGAAGAAGCTGGACGCTAGCGATGTTCAGCGAGCCTGGACTGGGCCCCAGATAGGCGGCATAGTTGTCATTGGAGGGAAGTTAGGGGGAAATTTGACCGATCCACCGGTTCCACCCGGTCCGGGTTTGCCGGGTCGTGATCCTTGAGCCACCCGACGGCCATTTTGAACAAGAGGCTTTGGGCGGGAAAGACGGGATTCTGAATCTGCGTCTGAGTTGCTGATTATCTGGCGAGTACGACAGTTTTGGGCGTTTCTAGTTACATACTTGATCGGGTAGTCTGCTGAATGTTGGGATGCGGTACCCATAAACCTGGCTTCTGTCCCGACACACTCGTTATCGACGATCTTTTGGTGGGTGTTGGTGCTCCAATGTCTTCCAACAGCCTCGAGGAGGTCCGCAGATCGGATTTGATATCTGAGGCTCAAAGAATTGCCAAAGAATTCGAGTTCCCTGCGGAAGATGTTCGCCGTGCAACTACCCACTTCTTGAAGCAGCTTAGTAAGTCCTTCAACCACCCACGGCCAGAAATGGTCATTACTCGAGCAACACCAACTAACACGAATCAGATGAGGGCCTTCAGAAGGACGGCACATCAATGTGCCAGATCCCATCGTATGTCACCAAGCTACCAAACGGCTCTGAAAAGGGCGTCTGCTTGGCCATCGACTTGGGAGGAACCAACTTGAGAGTATGCTCGGTTGAGTTGCATGGAGACTCAAGTTATACTCTCACGCAGTCAAAGGTGACTATTCCGCGTCATCTCATGCTGGCGCCAAGATATAAGGATCTGTTCAGATTCATAGCGCTGCAAACTAAAGCTTTTATGGAAAAGCATCATGCATCGGACCTCGAGAGTTGGGAAACTCTCGTGAAGGACGGTGGCCTCACGGATGAGCTGAGACGCTCGCATTCCAAGAGTCTGGGGTTTACTTTCAGCTTCACCTTCGACCAGCACGCACTCAATAAAGGCGAGTTGCTGTACTGGACAAAGTCTTTCGACATACCTGATGCTGTTGGGCGGGATCCCTGTGCCATGCTCCAAGAAGCTCTCGACGAGCAAGAACTTCCATTGCTGGTAACTGCGCTTGCAAACGACACTGTCGGAACATTGGCAGCGCGTGCTTACACCTCTCCCGGGAGGTCAAGTACCGTTGTTGGCGCCATTTTTGGAACGGGCACAAATGGCGCGTACATGGAACGCCTCTCCCGGATTACGAAGCTCCATTCTCGCCAAGGAACCTCGAAGTACGAGCCTGACGCAATGATGGCTCTGAATACGGAGTGGGGTGGATTCGACAACAAGCTGGAAGTGCTGCCGACAACAAGATTCGACCGAGAGCTTGACCAAGAATCAGTCAACCCAGACGATCAACATTTCGAGAAGCGCATCTCCGGCATGTATCTCGGCGAGCTGCTGAGGCGGATACTGGTCCACCTTCTCAGTTCACACAAAGAGGCCTTCGACATGGAAGTAGCACCCGAGTCTGCTGTTCATGTCGCCGACAGTATCGACAGCTCGTTGCTGTCTTCAGTTGTGAAGGACTCAACCGAGAGCTTGGAAATTGCACGTGAACAGATCTCGACAATACTCTGCGCCACAAATGTATCGATGTCAGATGCACGAGCTATCAGGATCCTCTCCGAGGCAATTGGACTTCGCGCCGCGAGACTGTCATCGGTTGCCATCGCGGGTGTTGCGCTGCAGTCCGGAAGGCTCGTCTCGAAGGCGACCGTCAAATCAACTGCAGCACCGTGGGGCATGGGCATTCATATCCTGGCCCCTTTGTTCTACGGCATGAGAAGTGCTTGGCAGGTGCTGGCCAAGTGGTTCCGCATCAAAGTTCATATCAAGTTTCCAGCCAAAGATTCATCACCGACGTACCCGGAGTCAGAGCATGAAGCAGGTGCGGTCTCTCACGATGCGGAAGAAGGCGTCATTGACATTGGCGTCGATGGTTCTCTAATCGAGCATTTCCCAAACTTTGAGGAAAACATCAGAGTAGCTTTGCGGGAAGTACCTGAGATCGGCGGTGAAGGCGAGAAGCGTATCAAGATCGGCATGGCAAGAGATGGCAGTGGTGTTGGCGCTGCATTAATCGCATGGGCGGCAAGGACATGATCATTTGGGGACTCGGTGAATAAAAATAACTAATCAATTTTCGGTGCTAGGTAATAGAAAAACTTACCTGAAATCGCACCGCTTCCACGGCTCATATTCTGAGAGATGATTCACTGCTTCACGCAGTTGCCAAACCTTGACTATTTAACTAGTGAACGGTGAACATAATCCATTCCCTGAAGCTTCCACCCTCAATATTTCGTAACGCAACACAAGGGAACAGCAACATCAATGCCAATAAGTCCACCATCGACTGTTACATAACTATTGAAATCGACCAATCATGCGTTTCCGATCCTGGGCGGCTGTCGTGGTCAGCTCGACATTCGCACACCTCTCTTCGGCGCACATGATGATGTCTGATCCACCACCCTTGAAAGCCAAGATCAACCCAAACACCGCCGAAGGAAATGTCGACTACAGCTACACAAACCCTCTATCATCGAGCGGATCCGATTACCCTTGTAAAGGCCACTTGAGCGTGCTGGGCACCTCAGAAGCAGATCCCGTCGCTACCTGGAACGCTGGCGAGGATCACACGATCACTCTTTCAGGCCATACCACCCACAATGGTGGTTCATGCCAGGTTTCTATGTCTGCGGATGGCGGCAACACCTTCAAAGTCCTTCGAAGCGTCATTGGTGGCTGCCCTGCCGGGGATGGCTACCAGATTTCATTCACTCTGCCTGACGATACTCCCTCATCCGATCAAGCCATCTTGGCCTGGTCATGGTTCAACAATCTGGGCAACAGAGAGATGTACATGAATTGTGCTATCATCAAAATTGGGAACGGCGGAAGCGGCAACAACTTTCGAGCCCAACCAGACATCTTTCGCGCCAATGTTGGCAACGGATGCAGAACCGTCGACAACGCAGACGTTATGATCCCAAATCCCGGATCCAACGTTGAGCTTGTCAGCTCCAACGCAGTTCCACCAACGGGTGATTGCGAATCTGTTCCTGGTGCTCAAGAACCGGGCGGATCTGACTCCAACTCTGGCTCTGGCTCAAGCTCAGGGTGTGGTTCTGGGCAGGTTTCTGGGGTTGGTGAAGATGGGAATGGCGAGGACGGGAAGCTGTACAAACCTGGCAACGATTGGCCACAGGGGTTCAATTGCAACAACGGGAGGACAGTTGCAGTGGGCCCTCGGCAAGCATTTCTCTTATTTGGGGGTCTGATCGTCGCCCTTGGCCTGCATGCAGCGCTACGACTGTTGGGGGGCTAGCTTCATGTGAGAGCAAAAAGGGTCTCTGAATTACTGGTGAAAATGCAGCTTTCATAGTAACAGAAACGCATTAGTGAATATCATTCTGTGAGTTTCACCACTTATTCTTCACTCTTGTTGGTTGGTCTTTGCCGCAATGCGATGTTTATGATGAGAGAATGAGAGTCAGTGTTACCAACGGCTGACATCATCATGCACCAGTCTGATGTTTTTGGTCTTTACGGGGCAAGCTCCGACGCCGCAAACCAATACTCTTCCAACAGTCACGTGGCTCCGTGCCATTCGCCCAGGCTGCGCACTCGTTTCCTCGCGCCATGACAGTGTCTACAGAATATACTTCAAGCCCAGCAACAGTTGCTTTGGCGGCCTGAATGAACAACAACGCAAGCAACCGCTGAAGAACATGCAGCCGTTGCGCCCGCTGCTGCCGGCGCAAGATAGTGCTGCCGAACCAGCAAAATTCGATAATCTCCCGAGGGAAAGACCTCGGCCGGTGCAAGCTGCCTGCAACGCATGCCGTAAGCGCAAATCAAGGGTACGTTGTCTCTGAGCTACACGACCTGAGAAGTGCCTCGGAATGCTCATATAACCTGCAGTGTACTGGAGAGAGGCCCACGTGCAGTGTGTGTCTTTACCGGCGCAGCTCCTGCGAATACACCACGCGACCTGGTGAATCTCGACAGCAGGCCACTAGTCGGAAACACAATGAAGTGCAAGGCCGAGCTACGATCCACGAGCAAGTCTTAGCACTATTGAAAAACTTACCGGAAGAGGCTGCCCAGGATGTGTTCCAGAGGATCAGATCCGGGGCCGATGCCGCGACTATTGTGAACCATGTCGAGGCTGGAGATCTGTTGCTTCAGATGGCTATCGCACCCGAAACGCGGCTACGATATGACTTCCCCTACCGTTCCGAAATGCCTGAGATTTATGTCCAAAACAATCCTTATTTGAATTCGTTCATCTACGAAGCGGCATCGCTGTATCCTGCGCATGGGCAAGGGAGGCCTTCGCATGCCACCGCTGGCGGGTCGCAGGAACTCCAAAGTGTCTACACCAAACCGTTTCACGCAGCACGAGTTGTCGAGCCCCGATTATCCGACGCCAAGATATCATGGTGGACTAACGTATGCGATGACGATTCACTCATGCGAGACCTCCTCAGGGCCTTGTTCAGGTGCGAATATCAATTTTCTGCGGCGTTTCAGAAAGACCTGTTCCTCGAAGACTTGGTCGCACAAAAGCAAGACTTTTGCTCTTCACTACTTGTCAACATAACCCTTGCGTATGCCTGTGTATGTTGATTACGCCCTCCACTCGCAGCCGACGCAACTAACTAGGCATAGGTCTGCTATCAACAGTTTTCGAACCGCGTCGAGTATTGGAACCCCAATACGCTTGGGTACCGCTTTCTTGCAGAAGCCAAGCGTCTCTGGGAACTACAGGCCTCTGAACCACGGTTGACTACTATACAAGCTGGCATCCTTTTCAGCGTTTTCCACAATCTGTGTGGTCTAGATGAGCTTGGTCAGCCGTACAGGATTCACAGCGTGACTTTGGCACGCAGGCTGCGTCTCTTCTCTAAAAGCTCATGTGGAAATAATGACTCGAAACGAAAGGGTTGGGCGTACACCGCTTAGGCTCTTTACAACTGGGAAACGTAAGTACACTAACCCAAGATTTTGTGATAGTCTCTAAACGTTACAGGCTGGTTTCATTCTCCTTCATGATACCGCCTTTAGTCAAAGAGCCTCCGGACTGGCCATTACCCGACCCGACAAGAGAGGGCGGGTGGTATGGCGAGATCTGGCTCCAATACCCATTGGTTCCAGGCCTTCAACCAACTCACTTTGGTCACATCTTTCGAACGAGAGCCAAGTTTAGAGTCATCATGAATGAGTACTGCGACGCAGCATTTTCTCCAAATGGAATCATTAGTCTCGATAAAGCCAATAGGCTTCATGAGAAATTGAAAAGGTGGTATAGTGACTTGCCAGAGCCACTTAAGCCCAAGACGATCGCACTTCCAGGTCACTTTCAACTGCAGTAAGTGCCCAGCCCGGAGGCAACGCTACTTCTCTGCCACCCCTCGTGATCTATGGACAGAAAAAAGTGGACATTCTGATAATTGGTCATCGCAGCATATACTACTACCATTTGCTACTTATGATCTACGAACCCTTACTTGCCGCCAGCAAAGGTCGCGACGCGACCTTGCAAAAGGTCGTTGCCGACGCGAAGAAATATCTCCAAACCTTGATCCGCCTTTACTATCTCCGGCACGGCTATGAAGCTATGGACCTATTTCTCGTGATACCCCTCATGCTCACCGGATACGACTGCATCAATGCGATATCGGAAGAGAAGTCTGAACATCAGATCGAAATCCTGCGGTCCACACTTATTCTAGTTGCAAAAGGGTTGCAGAACCAGCGCCGGAATCACTACTTGGCTGGAGCACTGTTTCGAGTTATCAGAGGGCGGATGCGCCCGCAAGAGGTGGCCCTTTTGAGAAGTTCGATGACTTTTGACGACGACCAGGAGATGGAGAAACACGACATGGTGCAGGCGGTGCGCAGTCACTGGCCAGTCGGCATTGTCAAGAAGCAGGAGGAAGTGGATGATCACATTCTGACACATCTTGTTGAGAGTTACGGGTCGTTAAACTTGGAGGAGACAGCACGGTGATGAACTCCGGGCGTGGCTCGCGTTGCAAGTATTCGTTCCAGTTTGATAGTGTGAATAGTTTCACTGTATCCCAACTCTCTCCGGAGTTGAAGACGCACAGATTGTGTTAGAACACCTGAGCCAATATTTAACTGAGATGACGGAAGACCGCGGACCACTTACTACCTATGTTAAGGTCCTCCCTATTTCTTTCTGTCCATGTTTAAGTTGCCCATGCGTCGGAGGGCCGGGCAGTAGCATCAGAATCTCAAAAACGGCGTCAGAATCAAAAGCAGTAATTGCAAAATCGCACCTTCACTGGGTAATTAGACAAAACATCAAAAAGTGAGGTCGAGCCCGGGTTCGAACCGGGGTTGCCGGAAGTTTTGATACGATCAAAATCCGGAGTGATAACCACTACACTACACAACCGAGTGGTTCATGACCCAATTTGGGCTAACCATATGCATGTATGCTCACTGCCGGGCCCCACATGACCACCTCATGAGTCATCGTTCCATTCCCCTCTGCACACCAAATCTGTGTCTGGCTTTTTGTTTCCCATGTTGAAGAAAACCCCCTTTACTATTTTCGTCTTTATTGGCCATTGTCCGCTTTCTATGGGTTCCCGGACGATGCGCAGTACATCACGGGAGTGAGAGCCCACCAGCTCGGTTTTCGTAACCCATATCTCTGAGCCCAATGGGCTTTTGGCTCATCATTTCCCGGGAGATGTCCCGCCTAAAATTACAGCGGTTCCCCGTCAGCTCGTCCAAATTTGGCGTAACCCCCCACTGTTGCGGTCGCCTCTGATCACTGAAGGATGAACAAGCTTCTCCGCAAACTTCCCCGCGATTTGATGTCTCCCTTTCTCGGCGTTGATGCCGATCCTACACACCACGACTGCTGAAATCGGCGTCAAACATTTCTTTCGGCCCGCTACCTATCCCGGCTCCGATCATGGCTTCAACTGGCCGCGTTGATCCGAGCAAGTGTCTTGAAGGCCTGTTCGGGACCTTTTGGCCGGTTAATAAAGTGATATGTCACGCTCCGGCTTGTCTCTCAAGCTTTCCCTCTGATTTTCCACCATTCACGGCTTGATCCTCTTGCCATTGTTGCATCGCTACGGCTGAGATGAAGGTAACTGCTCAGATAATACTGTATTGTTACGTGCCCTCAATGCTGACACGATGAAACCAAAGTTGACATCTTTCCTCACCTTGTCTCTGGCAGGTCTCCTGACCTCGCCATGCGTCGCAACAGTGGCCGACATACCAGGAGCATTCGGGCCAGTCTACCCGCTCACTCCGTCACCCGCAGGTGATATCTCCAAGTTTCTCAAGAGCCGCCCCAGCGACTTTGTGCACCCCGGAATCTGGCATACCCATGAAGACCTCGAACGTATCCGGAATGGTGTACTTGAGGGCAAAGACCCATGGAAGTCCACCTTTGATGTATTCAGCAACGACAGCTACAGCCAGGCCTCCTACCAGATGAAAGGACCCAAGGCGGTGCTCTCACGTGGAAGGACAAGCAATCACACCAGCTTCACTTCTGACTCTCGTGCGGCATGGCAGAATGCGCTGATGTGGTACATCACCCGCGACGAGGCGCACTGGAACCGGAGCACCACGATCCTAGACAGCTGGGGCTCTACGCTTGTCGATATTATTGGTACGGATCGATCTCTGCTGATCGGTTTAGAGGGCGACCTGTTCGTGAATGCGGCGGAGATTATGCGTTGGGAAGGCAACTGGACTGAGGCCGGGGCTAAGTGGCAAGGCGGCTCGGGGTTCAGCATCCAGTTGTACTGGCTCTTCTCGCGGCAATCTGTCGCTATTGGGCAGGCTAACTATGGGATGGCGAGTATCAAGGCTCTGCTGAGCTTCGCAGTGTACCTGGACGACGTTACGCTCTACAACTATGCCATCAATGAGTACCTGAACAACCCTTGCGCGGGCTTGTACTCCATGTTCGACCAGAAGACCGGACAATCATCCGAGTCCGGTCGTGATCAGAGTACATGCCCCAGACATCTTTTCCAGGACGATTTGAATGACTGACATATCCTAGGCCACACCATGACAGGCATTGGTTGGGCCGCCACGGCTGCCCGAGTTGCGCAAAGTCAGGGGTCAGACTTGTACAGTCAAGGTGATAACCTGATCCTCAAAGGAGCCGAGTACACAGCAAAGTTCAATTTGAATGAGACGGTGGAGTATGACCCAAAGTGGTTCCGCTGCGAGGCGGTCCTCGTCGGCGGGCCTTGGGCTGCCATCTCGCAGGAGAAGCGGGGTGTCACAGCGGACAACCCAATGTGGGACATTGTCTATTACCAGTACGTGGTGAAGAGAGGACTGAAGGCCCCGTGGACGACGAAGGCGAAACAGACTGCAGGACCTGAGGGGCCTTTGAGCAGAGTTGACCATCCGAGCTGGGGCGGCCTCATCTGGGCTTACTGAAAAGATTTAAAGATGTACATATGAGATAAGAACTGCATAATTGTTGGTACCTTACCGGAGAAAAACAAGCTGCTTCTTCCATTCGTGTCCCATGGAGCTTATAACTTCATCGATTCAGAAATCATGGGGTTCTGGTTGGAAAGTCATGCATGAAACCTTCACCAGCCATAATCACACGGCTTATTCCCAGCAGATTGTGTAATATTTGCTGAAGACAACACTGTCCGATTATGTCAAACATACTTGCAAGGTTTGTTGATTGAATATGTACGAATGGGAACAGGCGTGCACTCCTGATAACCCAACTATGAGACGTGGAATAAGGTAAAGAAAGTGATGTGAATGAGTGAATAGAAAATAAGCCGTCCACAGCCAACTCGTGTGCCAGAAAAACAACGTTCGTTCCTACTCGCGTCTGTAGAGGAGAGTTCCGAATCCAAGTTGATCATAACCACCGCTGTTCGGACCATAGTCACCACCGCCACCCTCAGCACCACCAGCGTCCTTGTTGACGAGGTCGCGCATCTGTCCGCTCCACGAAGCGTTCAAGCCTTTGATAGAGTCGTAATGGGCATAGATGAGCTCCCAGATGGGTCGAAGACCGCCGCGACCGGCTTCACTAATGACCGTAGCCGTCCCGTGGCTGTTTGTGAAATTTGCGAAGGGGACATCGTATCCGAGGTTGTACTTGGCCACGTACTCCGCACTGGGTTCGTGTTAGCCAGCGCCCACTTCGATCTAAACGTCAAAACTTACCCTGCAAGAATCCTGTTGTCGAGGTATCCGAATAAGTCATCTCCCTGGTTGTATGACTGCTGGGCAAAGACGCCAAGGAATGCAAAGTCGAGCAGAGCGTGTCCCTGGTCTCTGCCGGCCTCCTGTCCCTGACCCAAGGGCTTCTTGGAGCCGGCTTCCTCGTGAATCTTCCAGATAGCATTCTCGATCTGACCGTTGCCAGCCCCATTCTTGAAGTAGTCGACCGCCTCGTTGTACATGGTGACGTTGTCCGAGAGGATTCCGATGGCCTGCATGGTACACATGTTGGCCAAGTCCCAGTTCGCCCAGTAGTGATCGATCGCGGCGCCGTTGTGTCTGACAAAGAAGTCGTGGTTCATCGGGTAGAAGACGTTGGTCAACATGCTGGACAGAGCATCCAAGCCCTTCCATCCGCTCCAGTCGCGGAGAAGCTCACCCGCGTTGGCAAGTTGGTAACCGTAGATGCCACTCGCGAGGAACTTGTCCGAGGACCCCCAGATGCGGAGCAAAGTGCTGCTCCAGGCGTCAAGGATACGACCAGCAGCCTCCGCGTGGGTCTCGTTGCCGCTGATCTTCCAGTGGACGGCATTGGCGTAAGCGGCGGCTGCATCGCGGAAGAGTAGGGAATAGTTGTCCGTGCAGTCGCTGCCGGAGCCGCGGCAGAGCGTCTCTACCGGTCGAGGGGTGTAGTCGGCGATGGCGCGGACGGCGAGCTTGTCCCAGCCGGTTGTTAATGGCGCGCGGTTGGCTTTCAGGAAGCCGTTGATGCGTTCAAAGTCCTTGGCGGTGTGAAGGAGACCCGGGTGGGCGAAGGCTTTCTGGGCGTTGACATCGCGAGTGACACATGCACTCGCCAGCGAGGCCAGGGCGAGGGCCCAAGAAAGGAAAGTGAAGTGAATGTTGAACCTCATCTTGCCGGATGACAGGGGTAAACTGTGGGGTTCAACAACCTGAACGACTTGTGGTGGTGAAGTCGCTCATTACCAAAAGGGAAGACGAAGAAAGACCTTTATCTATCCTCAGTCCCTTTCGGGCATTGAATTCCACGCTGCGTCTCGAAAAATGAGAAATGATGGAGATGTCGTAAACGCCCCGCCCGGGACTTTTCCCGCCCTGTTCGTTCGGCAGACAATTTCCATGGTGAAGCAGAGTACCGGATGGTTTTCGCATCTCAGTTGAAGAAAACCATGGGAATTTTGATTGTTTCCCTACTAGGCCGTGAAAGTCTATCGCATCCGAGATTTAAGGGGTGTGTCAGCTGAAGGCAAGGTTTAGGAGGTGGGCCGGGGTAAGGTCCCACTGCCGATCCCGTTCGGCCCTCCTGAACTTCATTTAACACCGGAGCCGGCCCCGGACAATGGCCCGGTGTGTGGAAAGCTTGACTGTTCGTGAGTGGTTGTTTTCGGGTGCTCTCCGAAGAAAACACCACTTCACACCCAATGAGATGAGATTGCTGTCCTCGACGAATAGAAAGTGATCATCAGTTCTAGCTAGCAACGTGTTGCTCACGAAGGTGTGGCTCTGTACATGCGTTCTCAGGTCGCAATATCTTGAATAAGTTGACGATGACACGAAATGCCCATGGGACTTCAACACCTTTCACCGACGGAATGTTGGCTTTATCTCCGCCATGTTGTCGTCCTTCAGCTACGTACGATCACCCCATCTTCTTTTTCTCATTTTAGCTAAAGGAAAACACGAAGTCAGACTCTAAGTGACCTGCCTATCCACGGATACCAATTTGTGTGTGTCTGCTCTGCTGAATGCTCTGTTGCTCCCAGTCAATTCAGCCACAAGATAACTTCATTCTAAGCAAATGCTTCCGAGTAATATCGCCGCGATATTTGGATTGGCGGTAGTAACTATCATTCCACGATACACAGGCTGGTTAGCGCATATTGACTCTAACAGTCTAACCGGCACATGCTTCTAAAAGAGCCATCGAGTCAGCGCTAGTGCACAGCCACCTCCACGAAGACAGCCATGAGGTGCCATTGCTACTTGCCTCTCACCTGCCCATTTTTAGCCTTTCTAAACTGGTTCGAGGCAAGCTCGTCCCAAGTTTAGTGAGGGAAGGCCGGCAATTGCCCTTGTTTATCAATGCCTTTGGGGTACGTATTGCCTACTGCGCCTGAGACAGCCTACTGGCAGACGTCATCTGAGCGTCCTGTCGCGTCTGAATCCAGTGCCAGCGCATCAACAAGACTGGTTGATCAGATCTCATCGACATGCAGCGCAACCTCATCTTTTCCTAGGGTCTCAGTGCATCTGCTTCATCCTCAGTTCCTCAGATTCATCACATCTCTTGTGAGCAGCGTCTCATGGGCTCCGTTGCTGCTGCCAAGCGCTTGCTCGCTCGCAACCCCTTAAACAGATTCCTCCCGCCGCTCAACTTCATCACTCTTCACTATGCATACTTCATTATCGTCTGTCTTCTGTCGTCGGTCATCTTCTGGGCCTCATCCGATGCTGAGTTCAAGGTGAGCTACACCGATAGCCTCTTCCTCGTGGTATCTGCCATGACCGAAGCTGGCCTCAACACCGTCAACCTCAGCCAATTGACGACGTGGCAACAAACAATCCTGTTCCTTCTGCTGCTACTCGGAAGCACGATATGGGTTTCCATTTGGACTATCTTGGCACGCAAGCACGTTTTTGAGAAACGCTTCGATGAAATCGTCCGAGCAGAGCGCGCCCGCAAACTCAGCCGCCAAGGCAGCACGATATCTCTGGCATTGCCACGGCTGCCATTGACTCTGCCAAAGCTCCAGCTCGCACTTTCTTTCGGAAAGGCCCAGACTGTACCGCCTCCAGATCAGCCTTTCGAAGGGACTGGAAGCCGAATTCCAGAGACGCACCCTCCTCCAGATTATCAGGACTCAGACACCACCGAAGGTCCGCCGCAGTTCCGACGGGCCATGTCGACGCCACACGTGAACACGAGAGACAAGAACACGCCCAAGGATGTTGAAGATGTTGCAGACTCCCAAAACCCAGGTCATATTACGTTCGACGACACACCACACCCAAATGCCACGCAGGCCACCTCGACTGGTGTTTCTGTGCAAGGCGATGGAGTGGCTCTTCCATCAAGGAGGCCTGCCAAGGCTCCCACGGACTCGGCCGATATCGACCTCGACGCTCGACACTTCTTGAAGCACCGTTCAGCTAGTCGCAATGGTCAATTCCACGACCTCACCAGCGCAGAGCGTGATCATCTTGGCGGCTGCGAGTACCGTGCTCTGAAGGTTCTTGCCACCATCGTGCCCGCCTATTTCTTCATGTGGCAATTTTTAACATCCCTTGCCCTCGGAGCCTGGATGAACAATTACATGCCCAATACGGCAAGGGCCAATGGTATCAATCCATGGTGGCTTGGCATCTTCAACGCAGTGTCGGCTTTCAACAACTCGGGCATGTCACTGCTGGACGCCAATATGATTCCCTTTCAAGAGGCATACTATGTCTTGATTACGATGGGACTGTTGATTCTGGCCGGAAACACCGCATACCCGCTATTCCTACGTCTCATCATCTGGGGTATGCTTCGGATCCTGAATCTGGCGACGCCGCAAGAGGCCTTCGCCGATCTTAAGGCCACTTTGGAATTTATCCTGAAGTACCCTCGTCGGGTTTACACAAATCTCTTCCCATCCAGAGCGTCTTGGTGGCTATTTTTCATGCTTCTATGGCTTAACTCTGTGGACTGGGTTGCCTTTGAGCTTCTCAATATTGGCAACTCGGTTATCGAGAAGATCCCGACCGGGTCCCGTATCCTTGATGGCTTATTCCAAGCCCTAGGTAAGCTTGACCATCTTCAGAAGCTCCATTCAAGATGTGGAGAGACATGAACTAATCATGCTATTAGCCGTACGGTCTGGTGGCTTCTACGTCGTACCCATATCGGGGCTTTTCATCGGACTTCAACTACTCTATGTCATCATGATGTACATCTCCGTTTATCCCGTGGTAATTACCATGCGTCACTCCAACGTTTACGAGGAGCGGTCACTCGGCATCTACAGTGACGATATGGAATCGACTTCAGAGCCCGACCCAGAGGCAGGTGTACCGCTACTACCCATGGGAAGCCGTCCGCCAACTTTAGCCCGCACCACTAGCTTCGGTGCAGCATCTGCCCACCCTTCAGTTCTAGCTCGCCGGCTGAGTCGCTCTGGACCGGTATCTGATGCGCGACGTGCTTTCAAGAGCACCTTCATGAGCTTCCATGGCGTTGGTGTGGCGCCTCCAAAACCTGGGGCACCTGGCATCCCGGGGCCCGATCAGCCTCGACCAGAGAGCCGCATAAGTTTCATCAGTCAGCAAGTGCGTGGACAGCTCGCACACGACCTTTGGTGGTTGGTCCTGGCGACGTTAATCATCACCATCATTGAAACATCCAGGTTCATCAAGGACCCCGTCACGTTCTCCGTTTTCAACATCATCTTCGAGGTTGTGTCGGCCTATGGTTGCGTCGGGATTTCAGTGGGCCTGCCAACTGACGCCTTCAGCTTTTGCGGCGCCTGGCATACGGGAAGCAAGCTCATATTGTGTCTTGTCATGCTTCGTGGAAGGCACCGAGGGCTGCCGGTTGCACTTGACCATGCAGTGCGGCTCCCAGGTCGTCAGCTTCATCGCGACGAGGAGGAAGATCACCAGATTCGGAGGAGTAGGACAATTGAAATTGAGAGGTAGGGCGACTTCCTCTGATAGATGACGTATGATTAGAATATGAACCTATAGTATCAATGACTTTACATGAATCAACTCAATAGCTGAGAACTCTTCATATCCATGATGATGATGATGCGAAAGCAGTGTGCACATTGACCGAAACGACGGGATATGTATTGGATAATATCATCTAGGAAAGTTAAGTGAGAAAACCGCGAAGTACAATGCTCGCTAGATACGAACCAAGCAATGCGTTGCAGCCGAACCAATTGCCCAAATCAATGAATACCACCAAATGCCGAGAGCCCAGAGCACTGAACACCACACATGATGAAATGCCAGATGCATGAAAAATGATAAAGATGCTGGAAATGTAGCGTATCACACGGGAAATTCATGCAAAATGTCGTTGAGAATATGTATCATCATCACGTAGGCAGAGCGATGCGGCCTTGGCGAAGTCGGGCATAGAGAGTCGTTCCGGCTTTACCAATGGGCACGCTCACGCCGTGAATGACCTTGAAGATGTCAGAACACATTGCAAGGCGAGTGACTGAGAGAAAACTTACCACACTGCAAATGATCAAAAACCAGATGACAATCAACATGGTATCGCCAAGCTTCTTCGCATCCGCCCGCTGACCGTCCTCATCCGTCAACGTCTCAAGGAACTCAAGGCCGACGTAGAGATAGAAGATGGCAGAGATGCCGATCGGCCCAAAATACCCAACGAACAAAGCCTGCCCGGGGCCACGGATCTGGCGGATGTAGCGGTGCAGGCCCAGGATGACAGGCAAACGCCTGAGCAGCAGGACAAGCACACCCAGCGCGAAGAGACGGCCCGGGCCGATCAACTCAGACGTCCAGAAGCTCTCCCAAGGACACACGGCGCCGAGCCACATGAAGATGGCCATGTTGAGCATCATGTCCACAGCGGGCTGGATGGGGTCGTTGAGCGTCTCGAGGCGGAACCAGTCGTTCCACGTGAAGGCGTTGCCGGCAATGAAGCACGCCAGCACGTCGTCGCTGCCGACCATGCCGCAGGTGCCGAGGATGAAGATGGCCATGCCGATGGGGAAGAGCAGGAAGCTCTCGCGCTCGACGTACTTGTAGCGCTCGGCCCAGTGGAGCAGCTTCTGCGCGAGCCAGCCGACGACCCAGCCGTAGAAGACGCTCATCAGCACGACGTAGATGCAGGTCTGGCCGAAGAAGAGGCGGATGGCCGCGGCGAAGCCGCCCTCGCCCGATACGGGGTTGCCGTCGCTTTCGGTGTACTTGATGAGATACAGCGCCAGGAAGAGGAAGGGGTACCCGAGGCCGTCATTGGCTCCGGACTCGGCGACGATGATCTGCTGCAGGTCCTCTGGGACGTTCTCGTCGGCGAAGCGTCCCTTTACGATGGTGGTGGAGAGGACTGGGTCAGTTGGGGTGACGCATGCTGCGATGGCGAGGGCGTGGACGAGGGGCAGGTCTGGGACGAGCAGCCAGACGACGCCGCTTGTGAAGGCCCACATACCGATCATACCGGGGCCGAGAAGCAGTGAGAGGGACTTCCACTCCTTGCGCAGGTAGCGACTTGGGAGTTGCACGCCGGCGAGGACCAGCTGGACACCGAGAACCAGGCGGCTGAAGTCGAGGGTGACGGAGGCGACGGCATCTTCGGACACGGCATATTCGCCGGGCTTGATCCATTTGGCGACATGAGTGAAGGTGACACCTCCGAGGAGGGAGACCACTTGAGTTGAGGGTTAGTTAATAACTTCCAACCTAAAGTCGTAATTTGCTTGATACCAAAATCGGGAGATAGCCGCAAAGGAGTCTCAGATGCCTTGACTTACGAGCTTCAGACAGGTAGCATGTTTCCTTGATGAGGTACGAGAAGGTGCCGAACAGAACGAGCCAGCCGCCGAGAACGCTGATGACGACGTTGAAGTTCGTTACGGCGGACCAGTCCATGTCTCTCGCCAACGGTACGGATCGGCTCACGTCTGGGTCGGAAGGCCTTGGGATGGACAACGGGGTCGGGGTGCTCGGGTCGCGGGAACATGAAATGAAAATGCCTCACGGTCTAGGGTCTGGTTGTCGTCGTTGTTGGCAAATACCAAGGAAAAGCAGGCTATCCTCTTCAAACGTATACGGGAAACCACACTCACGCGGGGAAACAGGGGAAAGAAAGGACACAAATCGACACCGCTTGAGAGACAACGACAACGACAGGCACTTTGGTCGCAGAGGGGGGCATGGGACGAGAAATGACGGAGACGGGAGTGTCACTTCACCAAATCTGGGGCAGCACGTGCATCGCCTCCTTCACGGTACTTGCGGCTCGAGATATCCATACTTGGCATGCGGTGCGGGCGGTGTAGGCGCCGTTGGTGAAAGGGGAGGCAACCCGGGTCCGGGTAGATTCGACGCGTGAGACCTTAGTTCAGACGGCCTGCAATGAGGTATTTTGAGTCTTGGCACTACGCGGTGGGTCGGACATCTGTAGCGGGCGCTCAACTCGCGCCAAGCCAAGGTCATCCTGACCACCCAGACTGGGCGGCATGTGCCACATCCCCCAGCCTAGTCTGTGCATCTATGCGGGGTTATGTATTTATCAATGTTGCCGCGGAGAGCGCCTGATGAAGCCTGCCTGCTAACTTCGATCAAAGTGTCGCAGAGTGCACCATTCTGGTATCGAAGGCTTGGATTTTGGTGTTGATAAGTAACTCAACTTCAACTAAAAATGTTGCTATCGCTGGAGTCAGTCGAAGTACACAATGCTTGAGCTAGGTAATGTCATCTGAATCACCATATCAGGGCGTTTGGATAAAAGCTGCAGAAGACGGAGATGATAAAGAAATGAATAAGTTTACTCAAATACCTTATTGAAGAAATGCTCAGAGCTACAAATTTTTTCAAGATGCCTAGGTGCGTCCACAATGTTCATCGCTGATCATCTGAGCACTATGTTACCAGACCACGCGTTTCTTCCTCATCGCCCATTTGGGCTGACCTGGGGCCGAAACGAGAGAGTCTCGCAAGTTCAATCGAGGTGGTCACAAAACTACGGATTACGCGCCCGCCAGACCCCTTTTGCATTCTGAGGGCCATCTTCCGGTATAAGTCAGAGTGTCGGTTTCCAGTTTCCACTGCGTCTTTGGTATTAGCCGAGCCTTTCTCTTTGTAAGATCAAGCTGGAACGTGGCCGACTTACATATGAAGAGACAAAAGAATTTCAGAATGATCGGGAACCATACGGCAACTGCCACTAACTGACCAAATGCCCATTTCGTAATGTTGAGGTCGCCTTCGGAGCTCTTCCTCAGGACCCCAAGAAATACGCTCATCTCTATAACTGCAAGGATGCAGAGTGCGAAAGTGAACAACTCGATCAGTGCCCAGAGGTAGCGATGGATCGCTTGCGGATTGACTCTCATACCTTTCCGCGACTCTGCAGTCTTGCGAAAAGATGGACGACGTCTCCCAATTCTTGCAATAATGTGGCGGGCAGCTTTGAGCGCACGCCGAATCAGTAGATGCAAGGTATTCGCGGCCGGTATGTTCCGTAAAGTAGGGTAGATGGCGTGAATAGCCCAGTCCAGTATTAGAACAACTGAGATATAATATACAGGAAACGGGTACTTCGAGTTAAATGGGAAAAATTGGCCGGGTTCTTTGATGGGATTCAGGGCGATTTGCTTATATTTCTGACAGAATGTTCGAGGTCCCGGGTGCTGTCCGCAGCCTTTCAGATCTACCGCAGCCTTCTGGAAGTGAGGAAGCAAGGAATCTGGGTCCATATCTTTCGGGAGATGCGTAAGAAAGACCATGATGAAGTTGATAATCACAAAGAGCAACATATACCACCAACTGGTCCCTGATGCGTGAAGGACTAGTTGAATAAGCAGAAGTGGATACGATCCGGCCGCAACAACTCCCCTCAGGATGGTGTCATTGGTGATCCAGGATATGACAGTGGAAATGTTCGCCAATCCGGTGCCCTTATTGCCGAGAAAGGTTGCGACTGCAGCACTAGCTGTAACAGGCTAGGCCTGTCACATGGGATGCTCTCGGCTATGTTCGGCACTGAGTAAGACATCAAGGGATAGGATATCAAGGGATAGGACATCAGGGTCGAAGATAAAAGGACATGTAGATGCAGCTGAGATGAACAAGAA